AAGAGCTTGTGGAAAAGAGGGCAATGAAAGAGGCCCCTCAAAAAAGAAAAGATAGAAAGGGAGAAGTAATGTGGGAGACGTGAGTAGAGCAAAGAGTACGAGACGGGGGAAAAAGAGAGCAGACAACATACAGAACCGTGGAAGTGAGACAAGTTGCTTAAACATTGAATGGGATGGGAGAGGAACCCAGTGCAAGAGACTGAAAAAGTAAACCAGTTTGGTTAGAATGGAAGAGAGAAATCTCCCAAGTGCATTTGGGGAACATAGGAGACCCAGGAAGCAGCTGGTGTCAAGCCTCAGCTAGATTACCCGGAGTCAAACTTGTTTTGTTAGTGCCCATAGCAGGAGGCGGCTCCAAGGTCAGAGTCATGCTGAATGATACAGACATCATCCTAACTTGGTGGCTGCAATGTTCCACCTATTAGCATCCCAACTCTTTAGTCTGACAGATAATAGCCAGCACAGCATACAGGGATTAGTGTTCTGAGTGAGGCCTGTGGGAGTTCAGCAATGTGTGACCTAACCTTGGCTCAGGTTACATTGGGTGCATCTACATGAGCGATGAAGCTGCAAAAATCAACTCCAGCATGGTTTGGGCTGGAATCAGCTGCTCCCACGTACAGTGTAGGCCCAGGTCACCATCTACACAAGTATTTCTGAAGAGTTAATTACTCCACTGTAAGATCTTATGGCGAAGTTAATTAATCTACGGGACCAGCCTGCCCTCTTGCACGAATTCCCTTTCCAATTAGTAGCCAATAATGCATTCAGTGCTCCACAGAGACGTCATTTTGAATCTTCAGCTCGGAAATAAGCCAGTCGAAAAGCTACTTTGGTTCTTCCATTTCCTGTTACAGAATCTGTTTTCTAACATATTCTGTATAACACTTTAGCCCTAACTGTCTGTGATAGCAGGATTCCTTTTCACTGTGACTCTTTGTATTCTCTGCTGGACCTGTCAAGAGCTTAGACTGGACAGTAAGTAGATAGGTGTCTCTGTACACTACATAGAAATGAAAGTGAATCCTGCATCAGGGAGCTCCTTAGAACTTGGGATTCTTTTCCAAAGCAAAGGCAGGAGCCCACTTCAGCTGTATAAATCTACAGCAGTTCTACTGATTGCGGTGAAGTCTTTTCAAATTTCCATTGCTGTGAGATCAAAATGTCACTTCTTAAGGTAAACACCCTCAAGAAACTAGCTTGCCACATGAGCGAAAGGTATTTAAATAAATTAATGATACAGTCTTAATCTAAAATTAAGATCTGTGTTCTCAGTCTAGGAAGATGAATTTGGGAATTAAACCAGTTTGATCTGAATTTACAGCCATGTAAAGAAGTGCTAGAATTCAGTCCCAGGCAATAGGTGTCCTGATTAATATTTTCTCTATGATGATATGTAAGTCTTGATGGGCTGGTTAAAAGCAAAGCTAAATATTGGAGCAGGTGTATCCTTAAATGAAGGAAATAAATTCCATATGCAAAAAATACCTTATATACTTTTTTCTTATTATTTCAACAGCCAGAAAATCTGCTCATTGACTTAAGGATCCCTGTGCCTCGGGTCAAGCTGATAGACTTGGAAGATGCAGTTCAAATCACAGGACATTACCACATTCACCAACTACTTGGAAACCCTGAGTTTGCAGCTCCTGAAGTTATCCAAGGTGTCCCTGTCTCACTGAGCACGGATATCTGGAGCATTGGGGTCCTCACCTATGTCATGTTAAGTGGTGTCTCTCCATTCCTGGATGAAAGCAAAGAAGAGACGTGCATCAATGTGTGCAGAGTGGATTTCAGTTTCCCGTCAGAGTATTTCTCGGACGTGAGCCTGGCTGCCAGAGACTTCATCAATGTTATCCTTCAGGAAGACTTCAGGAGAAGACCAACAGCAGCCACCTGTTTACAGCATCCTTGGCTGCAGCCGCATACTGGCAGCTATTCCAAAATCCCACTGGATACCTCCCGCTTGGCTTCCTTCATAGAGCGCCGCAAGCACCAATATGACGTGCATCCAGTTCCCAACGTTAAGAGCTTCATAATGAGTAGGATGAATTCTGGAACGTAATGCAATATATTCCTGAGCTATTACATGACTAGTCCTAAGACCAAGAATACAGTATGAGCAGACATGCTGCAGAATCTGTCTGTATATAATTCTGTATTAAGTATTTATTTCATGTGGTTCCCCAGACTGAGGGTTATAAATTGTACCAGTAGTTGCAGTCTCTGTCCAATTACTCAGAACCAAAGTGAATATAGACGGTTTCAGGTGGGCACATCCAGCCTCTTGACAAGGCTATTCTTGGGAAGCAAGAAATCTGCCTGTTATAGTAAAGTCCACACAACAAAGAGGGTGTTTAAGATGAACACCACCAGCTGGAAGAGGGAACCAAAATACTGTTGCCTTATTTTTGTTAAAGGCAGCCTTATAAGAGACCCCCATTGGTCTTGCTGAACTGATTTCAAAATATAAATGATGGAGTTGGAGCAGAGTAGTGGGTAAAACTAGGCTGAATCTAGGCAGTCGATATTTACAACAAATCCAAATTGAATTTGGAGTTTGCAGAAATCACTGATAACTAAGTCCTTAATAAAGGCTGAATTTTGTGAGCCCTCTGTACCCAGGACTCCCACTGACTTCACTGAGGAGGGCACACAAGGTCACGCTCTATTTACAGCTTTTCTGATGGTGAGATTTCAATACTTTCTTTACACAGTCTTGCTCAAGCAGGCAGAAATCCCACACAGGATTATAGAATCTTTTGCTATATTGAGTCAACATGCAGTAACTTTCAAAATGACGGTTAAGGCAGTGAATTCACCGGAGAATAAAGCTGTTTTGACTAAGCACAATGAGACAACGATGGTTTTTTAAAAAATGTTTTCTAAGCCTTGTACAGAAATCTTTTGCAGAACCTGTGCGTTGAGAAAAGGGTGTCAAATTTTTGCAGTATCTGTAAACTAGATGATGATGTTAACGATAATTTTTTGTATCACAGGTTGTTCAATATACCTATATTGTGTGTACATATATAAATATATAAAAAGGACCCTGTTTCATTTCTAGCTTCAAAAACTGCTTGGTCCAAAGCCAGTCAAAGTGCAGTAAGAGTAGGGAGTTTATCCTTGTGCTTACAGCTTCAAAATGGTTTTCTATGTATAAAATTGGTTGCTGATGTTTCCAGATCCATAAATATTTCTTCAGCTGCTTTAAGGCTCCATCACCAAAGCATTTGTGAGGCTATCTTTTATGTCCAAAGCCTAGTTAGAAATAACAGAATCATCATTCCAAGCCAAGTTGCAACATTTTCATATTGATGTTATGGTAGCAGAGCTGACTTTAAATACAAGCAACATGGGAAATCTCACATGGAGGTCCAACAGTTCACAGGCTGGCCAAATATTCCCTTTTAAGCAGTACGACTGGAGGAGTAGGCAATACACTGGTGCTCCCTCATCCTGTTCCAGCATCTTGGGACAGTTAATAGGGTCCCAAGCCAGCACCCTGTGGGGGATCTGGCTGATCAGATAATCAGGAAAGGGGTATATCTTTCCAGGCACATGGGTAGTAGCTCTATCAATGGTGAGCTCTGCCAGTGTGCCTGGGGTAGGTAATATTCAAGCTCTTACCATAGCAGTTGATAGTAAACTCTTGATTGGCAGGGTTGGATTTCCCAAGGCAAAAGGTTTGATCTGCTAATCTGTGTACATCATAGCCTATCTTGAGGAACTGCGTAGGAGCAATAGTGAAATCCAGCAGTGGTAAGTGGTCTGTCTGCTGGTAATGTCCACAGGAGTAGGTAGGTAGGCAGAAAGACAATCTCTGCAGCCCCAAAGTGACAAAATCCCTCTGTCACCACTGCTAATGCCTTGGGGCTCTACCAGCCCTTGATCCTCTTCAAAATTCAGCTCCTTCTGGGATTTTAGAGCACTGCATTTGTCCTATGCCGTGAAACTGCACCAGTCACAATTAAGTTAGGGCCCTCTGTGGCTTTTGGGTGGGATATTAAGCTGTTGGGTGGGTTGTGCTAGTGGACAACGAAACAGAAAGAAACAGGCTAAGACTTCCACTGCTATACAAGTGTAGATGTAAACATGGAGCCTTGGGAAAGGGGACCCACCATTGGTGGGGGAGACTAAGTAACTGGCTAGTGTCAGGGGCAACCTGACACTGCATCCGTGATGGGGGAACGTCAGGTACTCAGTAACAGAAGGCAAGAGTCTGCCCGAAGGGCTAGGAAGGGAAGAGGCTTGGCCAGGGGTGAAAAGAATGCATGAACTGGAACCTATTTTATTTCCTCCCTTTAATGTGGCAGCTAATTTTCCAAGCAATGCAGTGCAGTGGCCCCTTCCGACAAGACAGAGAATGGAATAGCAGCCTTCGCAAGGCTGCAAATGTTCCTCCAGATGACAGCCACCAATGGGCTTCTTACATTAGCTCAGCTCTCAGGTACTTTCTCACTATGGGACTGTTTATTTTCCCCTTCTTCCTATTTGTAGAGGTTGGCCCGTGGGGATATCTTGTCTATCTCCTATGACTGTGCTGCCCTTAAAAAAAAAGGTTTATGGGAGGGTGGTTAATAGAACCCACAGCTTTCCTAAGACCTGTGTAGTTGTTAAACCTCAAACTTTATGCATGATTTCAAAAAATCATGGATCTTGCAAAATCGTGAGTCGCTTATGATTTTATTTCCTTACAACTACATTCCAGTCTCAAATTGCCACACCAAGCGCATAACACTTTGGGACATGTAGGAAAAATATTGGGTTGTTTAAAGAATTTTTTTAAGTGTCTTACTGGCATAAAATTAAGGCGGCTGAAAGGATGCTGGGTTCAGTCCTGTGGCTCTAAAACTGCTTTAAGACAGTGAGGTGACATTTAGAGGAGAAATTGGGAGATATGGAACATTGAACCCATAGATATTATGCATTTCTTTTTCTTCATTGGTTTAGTAACTTTGCACTGGAAAGATCCATTTCTTGAGCATGTCTTTTTTTCTGTACACTCATAAAATTCTGGCCTCTTTAATCACAAGTGTATCTAGAATTGTTTCATGCAAGGTCTTGCGCTGGTCACCTAGGTAAAATTCCCATTGATTAGGAATTGTTTTGTCTGAATAAGTGGCGATTTGGCTCCTAAGTGTCATTGTACATTAAACACTAGACGAGTGGATCTGATCTTGCTCCCACTCAACTAATTAGGTCTGGACTTTGCACTTCTTTGAGGGTATAACTCTGCCCCCATGATGTCCATGAAGCCCAACCCCTTGGGCAAAAGGAGCCGCAAAGTAGACTAGTGGATGCAGAACTACAACAGCCTTGTCTCTCTGCATTTCCATCATGTTAAGTCTTTCCCACAATAAACAAGAAAAAGCTCATGATGTTCAGTTCGGCTACTAACTAAGAAAGTCAAATCCCTAAGACAGTTGCTAAGTAGGGATGAAGCTATGCCAGGAATCTTTAACGTTCAAGGCACACTTATAGCCAAATGATGGTGTGACTGTAGCATGGAAAGACATTGTTCAGGAGTTATAATTTAACTAGCACAGGTAACAATAGTACCAAAAACCTGATACAAGTTTGAGCGTGGGTTAGCAACTGGAGAACATAACCCAAATCTCTGATGGGCATGTGCTACCATGCTAAAGTTTGGGCCACTTGGTTGTTTAGACACACCTGCTGGAAGACATCCTGGAAGGTGGCAATGCAGTTACTAAAGTATCCATCTATAAAAGAAATCTGTTTTATAGTCCTGTGCCGATGGACTGAACTATGACGGGCAAATTTTAAGGAAATGCACATGGCAAAAATAAACTGAGTGGAGAAAGCTGAGTTTCTCATTGCCCATAAATCGTCTAGCTCTGCTGAGGGTGTGGACAGATTAAACATTTATACCAGTGTAATTAGCATTATATCAGTATAAAAATGTAGCAAGCAATCGGACAACAAAAAAATCCCTAAGCCAAAGGAACTTCACCCGATCTGATGGAGAATTACCCTGAAAGAATCAGAGGTAAAACTCTACTAGTGGAAATAAAACTGGTTCACTCTATGGTAGCTGTGTGCTAGAGACAAACAAGCAATAATCTGCCACCCTGCCAAGGTGCTGTGATAGCACCTATCATCCTGGAACAGCTTCACATCTGTCTGTTCCCAGTGCCAACATCATTTACATTAGTATACAAGCCTGATGTCAATGACACTGGGGTAAAGGATAATTTCTCTACACCCTCAGAGTGGCCAGGCCAAATGTGTATACGTTACACATACTCTTTTATACTTGTCCATGCAGTATTGAAAGTTTTTATCTGCTCTCTAAACCAAGGATTGCCACACAAATAAATCCTGATGTCTCAGCCAAGCTACATAGCTGCAGACCCAAAGTGCTGCCTTAAGACAGAGCTCACAGTGCAGCAGGCCACAGCTAGCTGCCTCTCAGTTCCTGAAAAGGGCCAATAAGCAGAAAGGAAGAAAGCTCAAGACTGAACTTAAAACAATCCGAGCTTTGCGTGCCCTATCTTCTTATCCTCCAGCATCTTTCTCCCCCTTCTCCCTTCCTCCCCTAAATAACTGATCTTTTCTGCAGCAATACTATCTTGAGGTGCTGGCTGCTAGAAATCTTCAGTGCCTGCGTCCATAAGCTTGCAAATAAATTTTTTTTTTTTTGCAAACCTCTAGTTGGTCTAAAAAAAGGTATCACCTCTGCCACAAGTTCTGATTCCTTTTGCCTCTAGACCAATACAGCTACAACCTGGATACCTGGCTGCTAGAAAAAAAAAAATTAGTTCCCTTTAAAAATAAGTTAAGATCTGGGCAAGTTCTGCCCTGGATGTCACCTGTATGACTCCTGGGGCTTTGGTGGATTTCATTAGTATAGCTGAGGGCATGAGTTACCTTTGCTATGCAAACCATCAGCAGAGGCTAAAGATGGAGCTGTACAATGTTATTTGAAAGGAGGGTCTTTGGTTATATATAACAGTACCTTAATGCCTTCTCATTTAGAGGATGATAATCAAATGATCTCAGATCACACAATCTTCAGAGACCAGTTTGGTGAGTAACGTGCTCACCAGAACGGTCTGAATGACCATTATACGCACACACGCAGACTAGCCTTTCGGTTTTATATCCTGTCCGTTCCCCCTTGAGGCAGAGTCCTCTCAAAGATGCAGATTTATTGTCCCGGTCACACTTCTACGTTCCATCAGAAGATGGTGCTTTCCTGAGGGAACAAAAAAAATCCTGTTTCACAAGGCCGATTGCACACTGCCATCAAGTGATGAATTCCTATTCTGGACTCTGTATAGCGGTGAGTGTTACCATAATGTCAGGATTCTGAATATTTGCTGTAATCGTAGTCTTTGAGTATGAAGCTAGTGAAAATGAACATCTTTTCTACTCACTTAAGCCATATTTCACCTCCATGTCCAACTTTTGATGCTGGTGCTTTTACTTCTCTTTCTACCAAACTGTTCAAAATCACTCTGCCACTGAGGTCAGTAAAACCACACACGCTTTCTGCGAATACCAAAAGGAAGGCAAATGCAGGGGACAATCACAAATGCCATCTCCGTGAGACCTAACCCCAGATGAACAGCAGTGGCCAAAGAGTAAACAGTCGGCGCACGCTGATGCTATTCAATCTCGGCAACAGTCAATTGAAGGAGGAAAAAAGAAACAGTATTGCTAATAGCTCAGCATTTTCAAGGTGCAAACTAATTCCACAGCCTTAATTGTTTCAGTGTATTGCTGGTCTGCCTTAAGTGTATCTTCTGTTTTATGGCCAATTTCATTTTGTACGCACACACGGTTGTTTTGTAAAGGTAAGTTTGTAAATATTTTATTTGTCAAGTCTGATCCCTCCCTGTGTAACGTTGTAAAGTGATAACTTGCTGTCGCATCTTATTACTCCTCTCCCGCGTAACGTGCGATCGTCGAGAGACGACGCTTCGAGCCGTACATCTTGTCTGTCGCCGCATTCCTGTAGCGTACACTCATGATATGGTTTCTGGGTTTCTTTTTATTAAAGACAATTGTTCAGACAAAGGGTGCATCTGTTTTATTTCACGAGCGTCGGCAGAAGCCGGGAGGAGTTTGAATCCGCGTCGGTCGCTGCATCTTCTGCACCCCTGGAGGTGCCGGGGGCATTAAAGGAAGGAGTGTGTTGCACCACGGCTTGGGTACGCGCCTCGTGACACGGGGCGACCTCTGCCTCAGTTGTCATTATGTCGGCGTGGTCGTGGCACGGCCCCCACGTGGACCCTTCTTCCCTGTTAGGATAGCGAGGCCGGGTGGACTATTATCCATCGTGGGTGGGTGTCCAAGAGGAGGTTGCAGATCTCCCCGGCTCGCCTCCTTCCCCGCTTCCTGCTGCCAACGTCACCGTGTGTTTAAGTCTCCCTCAGAGGCGCTGGGTGGTGGCTGCCGCCAAAGCCGGGACTTTGTCTGGGCTGCGCCCGTGATCCCGCTGCGACCAAACCCCGAGGCTCCTGGTGGGAGGGTCGTGCAGGGTCAAAGCGACGGCCAGATTTGGGATCAGGACAGAACGGGACCCCCCGGTCACATCGGTATGGATTGGGGGGTGTCTGCCTTCCTCTGTCGCCCTCCCGTTGGGATCTCCAGGGCGTATCGACAAGATCTCGGGGCGTCACGGGTCACAACTGCACTAAGAAACCAGGTGATGGATTGGTGCAGGATGGTTTGGATAGGGCGGTGGCCTCAGGAGGGTTTGCTGGTCTGGGCGCTGTGTGGAGGTGACGGGGGTGTCCCCACAGAGGCCCATGGGCCTGCGATTGTGGGGCCGCTGCCATCCGAGCTCCTGGAGCGGCGGGAATCCCGCCCGGCTGCGGGCGGAGCAGTGGCGCCCTCTGCTGCCTGTGGAGGCAGTTTCCCGCCACCAACAAGTGAGGTACGCGTGACGTAGCCGCGCATGCGCAATCTCAGAACCCCGCCCACCGTTCCCCTCAACAGCTTCCCCCTCGCTTCACGCATGCGCACACTCAGAACCCTGCCCGCCGTTCCCCTCAACGGCTTCCCCCCCCCTTCACGCATGCGCACACACAGAACCCCGCCCGCCGTTCTCTTAACTGCCTCCCTCTCGCTCTGCGCATGCGCCCTCTGAGTTGCCTCGCAACAACTTCCGCGTCCCCTCCTTTCCCCGGTCACTATGATGGTGTCATCACCGCGCGCCGGAAGCGGCGCACGTGGCAGCATGGAGGAGCTGGTGTCGGGGCTGCACCAGGCGCGGGCCGTGCGCTTCGGCGACTTCGTGCTCAAGAGCGGGCTCCGCTCCCCGGTCTACATCGACCTGCGCGTCATCGTCTCGCACCCGCCGCTGCTCAACCAGGCAGGGCCGCGGGCGGGGGGGGCCGGGCCGCGGGGCTTCAACCCGGGGAGGCCGCGGGTGGCACCTCCAGGGAGCAGAAAGCATTGCAGCAGGCAGGGTGGGGTAGCTTGTGGCATACCTAGCAAACAGGTGCCCCTCCCCCCTCCCCCTAGTTTATCGGGGAGTTTCTTTCAGGCAGCTGCTGCAGGAGCCCCGTGTGAAACCTGCCTCTTGTTAACTTTCAACTGACAGCCTACTGCTTTCATTGTGTGGCCTCCTCTTCTCGTCCTGTGAGGCGAGAGTCGATACATGTCTATCGACTTTCATTGAATCATAGAATAATGAGGGTTGAAGGGACCTCAGGAGGTCACGTCTAGTCCAATCCCTGATCAAAACAGGACCAGCCCCAGCTAGATCATCCCAGCCAAGGCTTTGTCCAGCCGGGTCTTGAAAACCTCCAGAGGTGAAGAGTTCTCACCCTCCCTGGATAACCTGGCCCAGTGGTTTACTACCTTCCTAGTGAGAATTTTTTCCTAATATCTAACCTAAACTTCCTTTGCTGCAATTTGAGCCCATTGCTCCTTGTCCTGCCACCGCTGAGAACAGTCCAGCTCCAGCCTCTTTTGAACCCCCTGTCAGGTAGATGAAGGCTGCTACTAAATCCCCTCTCACTCTCCTCTTCTCCAGGCTAAATAAGCCCCATTCCCTCAGCCTCTCACAAGTCACATCCCCCAGCCCCTGAACCATTTTTGTTGCCCTCCACTAGACTCTCTCCAATTTGTCCATATCCTTTCTGCAGTGTGTGTGTGGGGTGGGGGGGGGAGAGGTCTGAACACACTACTCCAGACGTGGCCCTGCAGCCACACATTGAGGTCCCACACGCCTCCCTGCTGCTCCCTGCCGCCATGCGCCTCCCCCCACCCCACTTACCTGCAGGAGCTGCTTGTGAGCGTGCACATGCACATGGCACCGCTGCCTCACCACCCTCCTCCTGCTCCCTCCCAGCCCATTGCAGGCTGGAACTGTGCCTGCCTGCAGAGAGATCTTTGCAAAACAGAAAAATCCTCAGGTTTCCTCTGGCAAAATTAGAAATACACAGTTTCCTCCGACAAAGGGGAAATCTGTAGTTTTCTCCATTTTTCCTGTTGAAACAGAAAACCCAGATCCCTGACCATCACGCCTACGCTGCCTTACTGTCACTAGGAATGGAAGCCAGTTACCAAGTTGAGATAACAAGTGCTACTGTATTACAAAAATTAATTTCCTGGAGGGCCAAAATTGGGGGAAACAGGCCAGCCTCTAAACATTGTAACTGATTGTGCAAGTAGGGATCTGTGATATGTTTGCTTTGCTACTTTTGGCTGCTCTGCAAGTTCTGTCTGTAGGCCGGTGACTCTCAGCCAATGGATGCAACACCCTAGGGTGGCTTGAGCTTCTTTCAGGGGTCTTGTGTGGTGTCACAGGATGTCAGCACTGTTAGGTGTGCAAACATGATTTACAAGATAAACCCAGAGATTGTAGTGTCCAAAATGTTTTGCCCTGCTGTGGTCTTCTATAGTTTTTTGTAACAGAAGAATTACTTTATCAGAACCTGGCAATGAAAATTGCAGAAGTTGAATTCAACAGAAGTTGTCCCCCGGGAATTGCATGTAGTTTAGGTTATGTTTGCTGCTGCTTAAAAACATGGTGTATTTTCCAGGTTGCAGATCATCTGTTCCAGACTGCCAAAGATGCTGGAATCAAGTATGACTCAGTATGTGGAGTCCCATATACGGCGTTGCCTTTGGCTACTATTATCTGCTCCACCAAGCAGATCCCAATGCTTATACGGAGGAAGGAAGCTAAGGACTACGGTAAAATTATTTCACTTAATTTAGGTTCTGAAACACTTTTTTATTTGTAATATTCGTTTTTTAAAGTATTTTTAAATGATTGATATGCCATTTACAGCTGTCAAGCTGTGTTGTAGTAAAAAAACATTTTTTCACTAGTAAATTCTACTTCCCAAAATGTATCGCATCCCTGATGAAGCTCCCACAGCTGCATATGTAACAGATAGCTGTTAGGCCTATGTGCTTTTAAGTGCCCTTTGGTTTGAGCTGGCAGCAGCAGTGTCCCTTTCCTTGTCACCACCATTGCACTTCCTGGCTACTGGTTCCTTTGTGGAGACAGAACTTTATGCCCAGCTTCCCTAAGCTGGTAGGAGCAGTGCTGAGCCTCACCTCCAAGTTCCCCTTGGCTGACCCCAGTCTTTCCTAGAATCCTGCTGACTTTGAGGCAGGGGCAGGCAATTATTTTGGGTGGAGGGTCACTTAATGAGTTTTGACAAGCCATCGAGGGCTGCATGACAGGCAGCCAGGGGCAGATAAATATTCATTTTCTACATTTTTTAAGGGCCTCGCATGCTGGATAGAATGGTCTGATGGAGCCGCATTTTGCCCACCCCTGCTTTAAGGGTACCTCTTCCAGCACCGTGTGACAGCAAAAGGAAACGTACACCCAAGCTTTGGGAAGGATACCAAAGCCAAAATCACTATATCTTAGCTAGCACCAGGGGCTAAGCAACCCCTGTATGCATTTCCTCACCTCCTTTGAACGCGGCACAGGCTTGCTAGGGAGTCCAGGATTCCTTTATGTACCTTCTCTAAATCATGAAGGAGCCTCACCTTCCCTTTTCCATGCAGAAAGATTCCTTCATTCTTAGGTGGTTTGTGTTTGTAGTAGGCCCCTTTCTTCTCCCTCTCTTTGAAATGGCCCATGAACCCCTGCTCCCCCTTTTTTTTATAGCCTCAAGCTTTCTTATCAATGAACAAATGATCCTCTACTTAGTTACTATCTCAGTCCCAGAAATCAGACTTGGAAAACTGGTTTCCCTTTAAAGGGTGACTATCATTTTATCCAAGATTTTATCCATCAAAATTAAGTGACCATTCATGGTTAGTCTTTGCCAGCCATAGGAATCTCTCTCACTTTTTGTGCCAAGAGAAAAACAGAAGAGGAAATGGATAAGCCCCTCAGTTAAAATGCAGTTAGCCTGGTAGAGTTCCCAATACCAAATGGAAACATAAGCCATGATTAGACAGAGTCCCCAGATCATCCTAGTACAATATTGTTAACCACTATATTCATTGCATTCTGCCCTGCTGCTGCTCATGACTTTTTGGGGAGACTGAGTTTCTTTTGTTGCTCATGTCCCATTGTTGGTGAAGTTAGAGGCTCTGTAGCTTCCATAACCATCTTAACAGGAAAGTTATCCTCTTAGGTAGAGGTTAGTGATAAATATATTAAAGTTTCAGTAATGCAGGTAACTTACTCACTTTCAAACTCTCATAAGTAGCTACAAAAGAGATGAATTCTGTGGTTCCAGTAGTAGTGTTTTTATAACGGTAAAAAATTGCCCGTTACTATAGTTGCTTATCCAAGGACTAGTTGAATATGGACCTTGGCAATGATGTGAGGAAACAAAGATCTCAAGTTTTGCAAATATTAATTCATCTCACCGCTTCCTCAAACAAAGGCCTCCATGAGCTTACTCACTTCCTGAAGTTTAAGTGACTTGCCTAGAGATAAGTCTGTGACAGAGCCATGGCTAAAACTTTGATAATCCAAACTCAGGAGTACCAAATTTACCTCCTAACAAGGAAAGCAAAGCTACCTGTTTCTTTCACACCTAGCTCCATTATTTATCAAAACTATTTCCCAGAAGGCACCATATCTTTACAATGATAATATTAAAGCAGCAGTTTCATATTCTTTATTTTTTTTTCATATTTAAAGGAACAAAGCGTCTGGTGGAAGGTACCATTGAGCCAGGACAAACCTGTTTGATCATTGAGGACATTGTCACAAGCGGATCTAGTATCTTGGAGACGGTAGAGGTTCTTCAGAAAGAAGGGTTAAAAGTCACTGATGCCATAGTGCTGTTAGACAGGGAACAGGGGGGGAAAGCCATGTTAGCAGAAAAAGGAATTCACCTGCACTCTGTCTGTACCTTGTCCACTGTGCTGGAAATTCTCCAGAAGCAAAAGAAAGTTGACTCTGAAATGGTTAAGGAAGTGCAGAAATTCATTGAGGGTGCAGTCTTCAAACCAGCACAGCAAAACGGGATTGCTCCCGGAAAAAGACTGTGCAAAGAAATGACCTTCAGCGCTCGTGCTCAGCTGCCTGGGATTCATCCTATTGCCACAAGACTCCTCAACCTTATGGAGAAGAAACAAACCAACCTGTGCCTTTCTGCTGATGTCACAGACTCCAAGGAGCTTCTAGAATTGGCTGCTACCCTAGGTTCCAGCATTTGCGTCTTAAAGACCCATGTAGATATCCTGAAAGATTTCGCTCCAGAGGTAGCAAAGGAATTGAGAGCTCTTGCAGACAAACACCAGTTCTTGATTTTTGAAGACCGGAAGTTTGCAGACATTGGAAACACTGTGAAACATCAGTATGAAGGTGAGAATTCTCAGCTTTGGTTCTCTGGAACTTCTTAGTATATGTTCCTATTAAATATGGCAGAGGCACTGATTTCTTAGGGTGGTCTCTTATTGGACCAGCTGCGTAATTGGGATAGATTTTGACAAGCTTTCAAATGGAAGGCATTCTTCATTTGAAAGTTTGTTGAAATCTATCCCAACCACTCAGCTGGTCCAGTAAAAGATATCACCCTAAGAACTTGCCTCACATAATGTCTGGACCATCACAACAACATCACTCTTATGCTACTATTAAATATGGTGCAGTTTCTTATGGTGACAAAGGCTGTGTAGCACATGATGTACTGTTTGTAACAGCTTATTCCAGATGGGAGAGTTGCAATTGTTAGCCAAATCTCTTTTGTCACTTGGTTGTAGTTTCTCTTGAAAGAGACCCCTGATACCAGTAAGCTCTAGGTCAGGGGCTGCACCAGCAGGGTCCATGTCACCTCCCCAGCTGCAAACACCAGGCAGTTGGTCCCTGCTCCCCCTCGTCCCCCAACCACTGCACCACGTGGGCAGGAGCAAGAAGTGGAAGCCAGAGAAGGGAGGGGGAGCCTGGAGATCTGAGCGGCAGCAGCAGCTGGAGTGATGAAGGGAACAACAGCCATGGTAAACTTCACAACTTTGTGAAGATAAACATGATTGAGATGTACCAGCCTGCTAAGTTTATGCATTTAATAGGCTGTGCGATAACAGGACACTAGTAACAGCTAGTACCTGCTACAGTTAATACTGCTTAATAATGGGTTTTTTAAAGGTCGTATTTCCTCCTTGATGGATTCCAAGTGGTGCTTTGCTGATACCGACTGCCTCTCTCTGTTCACAGGTGGCATATTCGAGATCGCTTCCTGGGCAGATTTTGTCAATGCTCATGTGGTCCCAGGCTCTGGAGTTGTGAAAGGGCTGAAAGAAATTGGGCTTCCTTTGCAACGAGGCTGCCTCTTGATTGCCGAGATGAGCTCCCAAGGATCGCTTGCTACTGGTGACTACACCAAAGCTGCAGTAAGTAAGCAATTGTTTCACCTGGAAGACCTGCCAGTGCTCTGCTAAAGAAGATTGGGGGCATTTCTTATCAGAGTTCCTGTTTACAAGGAGCTTCTCGGGTGCACCTACCACTACACTAGGATTTTTTTTCAAAGATTTAAACCAGACTTCCATGTCTTAGGGGGTAGCCTGCACCTGTTCATATCAGCAGGCTGCATTATTGCTAATTTGTTTTGCGTTATCGTGTTGACCACTGTAGAAGTTTGCTTATTTCTTCTTTTTAACAAGCTCACTCTTGACTGGTGTAATTGCATTCTATTAGCTCATGTTTTTATGTTTTGCTCTTTTGTCCTACAGCTACTTATTACTTTCAGGTTTTAGTTAGGAGCTATCAGTTCTGTCTCCTCTGATTCTTTTTTGTGCCCAGAAACAAGGACTGAAACATTTCTTCTGCGTGCTTCTGCCCTGATGCATGATCCTATTTCACAAAGTCCATAAATGGTTTGACCTGCAACCACATTGATCAGCCTTGGTTCTAGGTCTCTTATCTGTTCTTTCTGGGTTTTCTTAGGTACAAATGGCAGAGGAAAACTCAGACTTTGTTTTTGGATTCATTGCTGGCTCTCAAGTTAGTAACAAACCAGAGTTTCTTCATTTGACTCCAGGCGTCCAATTGCAAGCTGGAGGTAATCTGGGGAAGTGGAGGGTCGAATTAGCGATGATGTTTCACATGTTGATCACCTCAGAAGTGATTTATTTAAAGATTATATTTATAGTTCTGTAAATGTACTTTCTTCAGATGTGTAGTGTCGCTGATTCTTCAGTCTTTATTGTTGCTGAAACGTGTGATTTGGTTTCTCTGGAAACTGGTCACTAGCTTTCTGGTAAGAAAAAGATTGATTGCACATGGACAGTATTCTCCAATGAATGTGTATACTTGAATGCAAGTATGAGAGCATTTGAGAGAAGTATAGCCCCTCAGGCTTCAATACCTTGTCCTCCAGAAAACAGCCAGTTTTTCCAGGAAGGGGACCAGCAGGCGCTTTGAGCTTTATGTGCGTTCGAGTGTACAGCTCCTTAGCGCACGCAGGATCTGTGGAATGTATTATCATTAGATTGCACGTTCCATTGCGTAGGTCAGGCGTTGGCAACCTGTTAGCAACAGTGAGCTGAATAAATGCTGTTCTCTCCAAAGAAAGGTCTCTGCTTACTGCCATTTGCCCTCTTCGCCCTCCCCCCCCCCTTTTACTGCTGATCTAAGTTGCCAGGGGTGATTAAAACCCCTGTTTTCAGCAGTGGGGAAAGGGGAAGTGGGCAGCCTTCACTCCCTATATTCTGGAACTACATTGAAACAGCAGTTTTTGGCAGTCGCAGCAATGAGCGCTGCAGGCTGGATTCTGCCTGCAGACTCTGTTTGACACCCCTGCCCTATAACATTAAACACAAATGCAGTTTGGCAGCAGTAATCAAGTCCTGTGCTCATTCTAAGTTTTAGTGATTCTGTTAGAGACTTCTTTGGCATGCTGCTCCCTGTACTATAATGTGTAAGGCGTGAAAAGGAAGGCACTATGTATTGAATTCAGTGTGAATTAATATTAGTGTATCATTGTTTAGCTGTGTTACAAGAAGTGCGTTCCTTGAGGTAGTATGAACTCGTAGTTTAGGTAGATGCAGCGAATGCATATGGTCTTTTCTCAAGTTCCACTATCTGGTTGAGAACATCTTGTTGGTGCCTTTTATTAGAAATAAGAAAGGCAAATTTGCTTATGTATAATTTTTCAGGTGATGCCCTTGGACAACAGTACTTAAGCCCTCAGGAAGTTATTGGCAACAGAGGGTCTGACATCATTATTGTGGGACGTGGCATCTTATCTGCATCGAATCGTCTTGAAGAAGCGGAGAAGTACAGGAAGGCAGGATGGGAGAGCTACTTGAGCAGACTTGGGGTTCACACACAAGACTGATCTGAGCTTGAGTCATTCCAGTGAACAAATTAATCCAGCGCATTCAAGAAGGCACTTGTATTATTTGAAGAAGGTTCTCCATGGTTTTTTAGATGGGGAGTTGTTATTAAATCAATGGAATATTTTCTTTTAAGGAACAAATCTGCTGTTGACTAAATATGTAATGATCCATATATACAGTCATGCCCATACTGAAGGATTTATTTAAAAATGTAAAATCAAAAGTCACTGCTTGGCTTGGATTTCCAGCCAATCTGAAACTAGACTACTTGCTGCTTAGTTTAGACAAGAGTAAATGAGAACACTCCAAGGTGAACTTGCATAGTTATCGTAGTCCTCTTGTTTTTCTTTTGGTTGTGAGAACAGTGCAGGGGCAGTTCCTTCAGTACTGTGCTACTACGTGGACCTTTCAGTGCTCAAACGCAACCTACCATGTTCTAATTCTCACCATGCGAAGTGCAGCAATGTGCAGTTTAATAAACGTTTTCAGCGAGTCTTCCTAAATTGAATTTGTTACGTTACTACTGATTTATTACTGTACTTGTACGTTCCTTGTCTTGTGCCTCAAATGTTGTTTTTTTTTTGGGTTTTTTTTAAAGAAGATGAAGGGTATTGGGAGCCATGAACCTGAGGTTATGAGTAGTCAAAATTGTTTGGTATGATGGTTCATCTCAAAATCTCTCTGACAGAATTAAGCTATAGCTACTCACTGGGCATGTCTACATGTTCATTAATGTGCTGTAATTAAGGAACATTAAGTTTAGTACCTGTAATAACAGGTACTAACTTAGCGCGCTGTAATTGGCACTACTGTGCAGTAGCACTAGCATGCTTTTTCCGTGACACTAATGTGCTGTAGACTAATCCTACTGCATTAGCACGGTTTTTGCCTGCTGTGCTTATGTACAGTAGAATTAGTCTACTGCGCATTTAGCGTCTCGTTTAGATGTGCCCATTATCACAAAGTGGTATTAAGTAGGAATGAGGGTGGGTTCAATAATGAGAAGCAAAAGCTTAAGATCTTGGCATTACTCCACTGTTTATGCTTTTTTCTGTAGAAATAAATTAGAATTGAAATACTTCTCCATGACTGTTTTCGCTTTTTAGGATTTTTAATGAAAGGATATAAACAAATCACTGCATATTTTGTTCTTTTTGAGTTAAAAGTATAAAGTCATCTTATATTTGTTACAGCATATTACCTGAAAGTGAAATGACATGGAAAATTTAGAGAAAGCAAATACATAAATGACCATGGACTTCATAGCATCACAGAAATTAAGGGCTGGAAGGGGCCTCAAAAGATCATTGAATCCAACCCCCCTGCTCTGGGCAGGAATACTGCTGAGATCAAATGATCCCAGCAAGGTGTCTGTCCCGTCTCCCCTTAAAGATTTCCAAGGTTGGGCACTGCACCACCTCCTTCTATCGTCTTTTCAGGGTTATTTCTGTTGTACTAAGGCGGGAAGTACATACATGGCATACAAAGCCTGAAATGTAGTCCCTTTAAACATAGTGGTTCATTGTGGAGTTGGAACAAATCTAATTCCAAGATGTAAGTGAGAAATAACTCCCCCCTAACTCCCTTTTTTATACCAGAAACTACCCTTTTTTGAGAGGAGCATGTTAGAATTGTAGTGGATTGTATAGGGCTTTGCTGGGTTAGAACTTGCAGAGAACTTCATGCTGCAGGGTTTTTGGTTGTAGCTGTATTGGTCTAAGGGCATAGGCATGCAAGTTTCTTTGGGTAGATGTGATCTCTTTTATTAGACCAAATGAGTACTTGGGGAAAAGGTCTTTGCAAGCTTTCGGGTACAAGCGTTTTTCTTCAGATAGAGGGAGTCTCTGCTGTTCTGAGATCTCCAAGGAATGAAAGAAGCTAAAAGTGTCACTCTCTGACATCCTGTCACGCTTTTAGCTTCTTTTGTTCCTTGGAGGTCTCTGAACAGCAGAGACTCCCTATGCCTGAAGAAGGGTGCTTGTGTCCGAAAGCTTGCAAAGAACTTTTTTCCATCTACTTGGTGTAATAAAAGAGATGACATCTGCTCAAGGAAGCTTGCAAGCCAGAGAACTTCCTGCCCTTGCTCTTCTTGTGCATCCTGCAGTGCTTCTAGTGTTTGTGTCGATGTGCTTTTCAGGCATTCCCTGCACTGCGGGAACGCTGGGACTAGAAGGGACCTCTTGAGTCTGATCCCCTGCTATGGCAGACCATGTGGTGCAATCCCTTTCATTTCTTACGTCCCTCTGGAAGGTGTCTTATTATTCTACTTCACCTGCCTTTAGTGAAGGTGAAATGTAGGACTGAGATGCTCGTGGCTGGCGTGGGTAAGAATAGCAGGCTTTCCGAATGTACTAAAGTGGTTGAGCATCAGTTGGTCACTTTCTGGCAGGTTCATCTCTATTTGAAAGCCACTCCAAGGTTGCCAAGTAGAATTCCTGTGTTTAAACCTCAGTTGACTTGGAATGGATTTTTATGGTGTAGCAGAAAGCCCCCTTTTCCTCTTGCCTGCATTTGCTCTCCCCTCTTCAGATATGTTTCTCTTTTCCTACCTTTTCTTCCTTCCTCTCTCTTTCACTTTAAGATAAGGAATTGTGTTTTAAAATTTGTATGTGTGCATTTTGTATCTCCCCTTGTATTTTGGTATTTTTATCTATTTGTGTGCCATGGCATTTGTAGCTTATATTTTATACTCCTCACCTTTCAACTGAATGTGTTTAGTTTCATAGGTAAATTATACATTGTAACAATGTTAACAAGGGCAGGAATCAAACTGCCCTTCCCTGTATCAGGCTGGCCCCTGAAAGAGCTAGTGAATCAGTGATTGAATGTGTAACATAATAGCAGACAGCAATTATCACCTGGGAAGCTGCAGATCAACCAAGGGAAGAACTCAATAGAAGACAATGTAACAACCGGGAAATCTCTAAACCTCACTGATCAAGGGCTAGAAGCCCTGGCCTGAGTTAATCAATGCCAGAGACCAACTTTTGGGCTGAATATCTCCAGATCGACCGCTCCCAGAGCCCTATTCAAAATTCATCAACGGACTCCCAAACCTGCACGTACATGCGGACGACCCCTGGGGCTGACAGATGCCGTCCAGTAGCCACCAAGGGGGGGGGGAAGTCCCACGAGGGTCAACGACCCCTGGATTGGGCAAACCTGAAAACTGGGGAGTCACCAAAGTGTGCCAAGGACAGATAAAAAGCAGTGAAAAGTGACCCTCAGTGGCGCCCTCTTGATCTCCAACTCGACCAGACCTGTCCAGCCGGCGACCCCCTTCTGGAGGATAACACCATGCTGAAAGAAGCCTCGACTGGCCATCGACAGCAGACTCCAGCACTTGTAGGATAGGTATACCTGACTCTGTAGCCTGCTACTGTGTGTGTGTGTATATGTGTGCGTGTGTGGGGGGACCAGCCCCAAGGTTTATGATTACAGTGTTTCAATCCATCTAATAAACTGGAATTTTAAGGATCCCGAGTTGGACATTTGTAGCCAACAATGGCAGAACTTAAAGAAATCCCCTGGCCTGTCTCCCTACTCAAATGTGATTAATCTCTGGTGCTGCAGAAGGTAATGGCAATTAGCTGCACAGCATTTCACATATTGCCAGGCCAAACTCTCAAAGTGATCTCCAGTTTTTTGTTAGAGATCTCAATGATCCATGTTTTTTTGTCTCTCAAAAAAAAAAAAAAAGAAGTCATAGGATTTGGGATTAATTCTGTGTTGTCTATTCCACTGTTATGCTTGGTAGGTGGAGCAGAAAAAAATGGCCTGTTAAGATTTCTCCTCTAGCAATTCAAATGCTCTGCAGGAAAGTACTTCCTTAGCTCCCTTCTTCCACCAGAGGGTGCTGAGACCCTCTCCCGCCTCTGCTTTTTGGAGCCATAGCTCTGTCGGAGCCAGTAGACTTCACTGTAAGTATATTCTGTTGGCGTTCTCCTCGGAAGCAACCTTGTTTTCAACCAAAGTTTTATATGCTCCGCACAGACGCTGGTCCAACAAGAGTTACAGGATTTTACATGAATCATGCCGAGCGCAGTACTTGTCTCGAATGGTAACCCAGGTTTACGTGCTAGCATATTCTGTCTGTTGTCAGCGCAGGCAGAGCGGTGAAGAGTGCCTTCCCGTGTTGTATTTCACTGGGTGGGTGATAGAAACCTCGAACTAGCAGCTAACAGACTTGCCGGCTAATAAATCAGGTCTTTATCAGGAAGTGAAGCATCTCTGGAAGAGGAATAGTGGTGACTTTCCTAGGAGAGAGATTGATAGGACCTGTCACCCAGGGTTATTTTTTTAGCAGCTTCATGCATTGCAGACCAGGGCACTATTTCTTGTTGACACAAGTGAGTTAACTTCATTAGTGAACGGCCTTGAATTGTCGGGTAAGAATTTTACTCTGGCCGCTTTGTTCCACACCGATGACATGGAAAGCATTTCATTTAGGAAAGAGAACTGCATTAGCCCCACTGATAAGTTATAATAAGCTGTGCTGTTCCAGGCTAAGAGAACAAAAACTCTCAGTCACCTGAAAATGATTAAATCCATTTCAAATTAGGCCCGGAGTTAATTTCCTGGGCTTGCTCCTGCTGTCCACGTTCCATGGAGCGTAGTTGCTGCTTTTGGTCAGCTCTGGGTTTCTAACATGGGAACTAGGTCACAATTTACAAAACTAATTTGCATCATAATATATGAATTTGATCAGGACAGAGAATGAATTATAAGGACTTTTACTTCCATCCTGGACTCGGTTTTAAAAAAAAAAGAGGGGGGGAAGCTATTTCATCAGCCATCAGGTACTGTATATTTTTAATATCTGTATGAAAACCCACATCCTCAATTTACACTTAAACTCCACTTATAGAGAAATAAATGAAGCATGATGGTGACTATAATCAATCACTCTTGGTCCTTCATCACGTTACGTTGTTTATAGGAAGGAACATGAATGAAAGTACCCAGTAGCCTAAGGTTTCTGAGAGATGAATAAGTGGTAGTTTACAACTGTGAAAATTGATGCAAATAATTGGACTGATACAAATAATTCCCAGCGTCTCTATCAGACATAGGATGAGCACTTTGAAGTTACCTACTCCAGGTTTTTTATATCGCCTCTGAGCCTGTTTTCTCTTTTAAGCTTGATCTATGCTACAAGATGTTACAGAGTGTTGCTATAGCTGGGATGGTCCAGGCAGTAGTTGAGAAGTGAGGTTTGTTTGGTAATATCTTTTTTTAAACCAACTATGTAGCTTCTAGAAATGTTAGACAAATTTTCAGACAAAGTGCCTTTCCTTCTGTCTGGTAAATGCAAGTAATTTTTTAACCTAGTATTTAACCTGGTATCGACTTCTCTGCCTGAGGAAGGGCACTTTGGGTGCCTGTACACAAGCCTGGAGGCTGCTCTGATGCACTGTAATTACAGCGTGTCGGAGCAGACATGATTAATTGAATCTGCTAGAATGTGGTAATTACTGCTCTCCAGCCGGCCTCTGCGTCTTCT